GGATTTAAAGCTGAAGGTATGAAATGTGGCTAGGAATACATATGAAAGTAATATATACGAATTTATTTATTTACAGTTATTTATATTCTGATTTTGCAGACTCGTGCATCACTCGTGCAGCCACTATGGCTGTTCGAGACCCACCGCGGTCGAGGGGAGCTCTTGACCCTAGGCCTAGCTCCGGCCCACCCAGCGGCTTGAAAGCTAAAATATAACCATACTGCGAGTAGACAAATGGGTACCTACCCTTAGAAGGGTAGGGGGCACCCTCCTCCTGTGAAGTGTGTGGAGGCGGCAATGGCGGCGGCGGACATCGGCTGCAGCAATATTCCGGCGGTGAAGGCAGCGTGGCGCGATGCAGCAGCGGCGGCAGCAGCAGTAAGGCCAGAAGAAGCGATCCCTCGTGGCCAGCGGTAACATCGGGCGGCTGTCGTCGGCGAGGCAAAGACGGAGGCGCGCGATGATGTCATCAACAGGCGCGGCGGAGCCAGAAGGACGTGGCTGGGCCGGAAGAGGACGCGTCGTGTGCCAACCCACCGGAGCGCCAGAGAGAAACAACTAGCCAAGCGAACCACCGGGAAAGAGAGCCGATCTGATCCAGAAAAAGCCTCCACCAGGGTGCCGGTAGGCAGCCCCACCCCCAATACAATGTGCCCCTAGTTAAGGAACAATGTGCTTAGCACCCCATCCTGTAAACTGCCCAGAGACCCCCTACTAAGGGGTTAGGGCGGTATATCAAATCAAAAGTTAAATTAAAAAAAATTGATATAGGTTAAAAGTGAGGGTTTGAAATGTTGGGTGATCTACATATGCTGGTACCAAATGAACTGATTTAATTGATATAAGCATGATGGATTATAGACTTCTTCTCTATAGGAACCTTAAATATTGGATAGCATGGTTTTCTGTTTTGTGGTTTTGGTAGTTTCTTAAAATAAGAGGATATTTAATCCTGACGGAGATAGATGGGAGGTAAATAATGAACACACAGAGGGAAAAATTAAGTTAATAGAAAATTGTGATAAATATAAATGGTAGAAAAATATTATTGTTGGAATAAGTGAAAATCTAGATAGTGGACTGTCTCAAGAAAAGAAGATCGATAAAGATAATTATAACATTACAATTATTGGATGCTTGTATGTTCGAATAGCAGGAAAACACATTTGTTAGGTGATTGTGTTGCTGTTTAGAAACATGTATAAATGGTGATAAATGGATGAATAGTTAATGTACAATACACTATACAGGTATGCATTATATTGAAAATTCAATAAAAACTATTAAAAAAAACTTTATAAAGGACACAGACACAAAGGGTTTTTTTAACTTAAAATAAAAACATGGTTAAAACATTAGCACTCTTGCAATATTTTTGCTTATTTAGAATCATAGAATGTTAGAGTTGGAAGGGACCTTGCAGGTCATCTAGTCCAACCCCCTGCCCTCTGCAGGAGCATAGCTGAAAGAGAGCCCTACATACCTACAACATACCCGAATGATAGTCGTCCAGCCTCCGCTTGAAGACGTCCAGCGAAGGAGCATCCATCACCTCCCAAGGCAGTCTGTTCCACTGCTCAACCACTCTTACAGTTAGGAAGTTTCTCCTAATCTTTAGCTGGTAATGACTCCCTTGTAATTTCCACCCATTAGACCTAGTCTTGCAATCCGGAGCAAGAGAGAATAGATCCAATCCATCTTCTACATGACAGCCCTTCAAATACTTGAAGACTGCAATCATGTGCCCTCTAAGCCTTCTCTTTCCCAGTGTCTGATAACAGTGTCTGATCACTGACACCTCTTGCTCTGAATTATTGCATCAAAATGTCTGTGCTGTTGCACTCTTGAGTATGCTGTTGAGGTGTGTATCTGTAAGCTGCAAGGCTACGATGATGACGCAGCAACAGAACTGGAAGAAGAAGCAGAAGACAGCCAGTTCCACTTCGGGCCTGATAGAAGCCCTCTGGGGGCCTGATCCTACCCCCGGGCCGCATGTTTGACACCCCTGTTCTAAATGGTCTCTCCGTAAGGAGTGTAATGCTTGAAATAGCCCTTGGATGTGCCCTCTGTAAGAATTATCTTGGTGGATTAGAACAGACCAAAAGTCTATCTAATCCAGAATATTTTTCTCTGGTTTTGGGTAGAGATGTAAAATTTCTGGAAATTTTGAAACTCAGGAAAAAACCCAGTTTTTTCCCAGTTTTTTTCGTGGGAAACGGAAATTTTCGGAAAAATTGAAAAAATGCTACATTAGCATTTCTTTTGTCTTTTCTAGATTGAAAGTCATTCTGTTACTTTAGGAACATAAAATATTACTATGGACATTTTTACTTGGCATGAAATTATCACAACTAGCATATTAAAAATATAGTGTATCCAAACAATTATTACAGAATACCCACCCACATGCAAAAACAAAACTGAAACCTTTTTATTTTCTTCTGACAATCGCACCTCCTAAAGGAAGAAATGCATCTTGTTCTTGCATTGGAGAGTTCAGTTTGTAACCTAGGACTTGCTTGTCCTCAGTGCACAGAAATTAGATCAATCTGATACCATATATATATATTTTAGAAATGATTTGGAAAATATTTGAACACCTTGTCTTAAAATATTTTATTCATCATGTTAAAATAAAACGTTCCATAATCAATTTTTTTTCTTTTCCTTTTTTCAATTTTTCCAATTTTTCAGGGAAAACAAAAGGCTTCAGGAAAAAAACGGAAAAAAACCATTTTCCCCCTGAATGTATCCGGTTTTTGTCCGGGCCTTCACATCTCTAGTTTTGGGTCTCCTGTTTTCTTCCAGGCAGCTCACAACCAACGTAGGTCGAGAGTCCCCTGTTTGTCCCTATGATTTTGCAAATTAGAGGTATACTGGCTCTGAACACAGAATCTCCACATGCTCCTAAACTGCCACAATTCAGTCCTATCCGGCTTGAGCACACCCTGATCCAGAAGGAATATTAGGTTAGCAAAATGCTCAAGGCACATAGCGCCTTGTGAATTCTGCTAAGAAACAAAGTTACAGACGGAGCTTCTTTATCTTTGCAAAACTAATATGAGTCTTTTATTGTAAGGAATTCCATTCTAGACAGGATACAGAGATCGGAGAGCAGAGATCGGATTAGTCTAACTAGCTAGGATGGATGGAGATGAAGGAAGCATTTCTCCTGCCCTCATGGTGCCAAGATGGAGAAGAGTGTGGAAAGAAGGTGTCAGCTGGGAAAGAATTCCCCAAGAGTAGCAATCTACACATCAGAGCAGTAGAAAGAAAGGATGGTCAGGTTCTGACTCCTGACCTATCTACCGAAGAGTAATTAACACTTGGAATTCATTGCCGCAAGAAGTAGTGGTGGCTACAAGCATAGACAGCTTCAAGAGGGGAATAAAGTGAACATATGGAGCAGAGGTCTATCAGTGGCTCTTAGCCACAAAGTCTAGATGGAACACTCTGTCTGGGGCAGTGATGCTCTGTCTCCTTGGTGCTTTGGGGGTGTAACAGTGGGAGGGCTTCTGGAGTTCTGGCCCCACTGGTGGACTTCCTGATGGCCCCTGGGTTTTGGCCACTGTGTGACACAGAGCGTTGGACCGTGATGGGCCATTGGCCTGATCCAGCATGGCTTCTCTGATGCTCTTATGTTCTCTCATCTCTCTGGCACTCTGTAGTCCCTCTCTGAAGCTTGAGGCTAAGAGACAGTGCAAAGTCCTTCACTTCCAAGAGATCCTTCGTAGGCAGCAGGCGTTGGAGGACTTGTTTGGGAAGTCCTTGTGGTTGGCTTTCAGGTGTTGGCACAGAGCTGTTCCAGGAAGCAATGCTCCTGGTCTTTCCCAGGGATACTTCCTGTCAGAAGGCACATCCTCAGACAGGCCTGTTTCCCTGTTTCTTTCTTTTTTGCGTGCACCTTGTGCAGAAGAGGATTGTAAGAAGTACCTGGAGAAGAAACGGCAGGAGGCCGAGCAGCCCGTTCAGGTCCCAGCAGTGGACAGCAGCGAACCGAAGACACTGGAAAGGCGAGGCATCACTATCCGAGACGACCCCTTGGGTAAGCAGATAGGTCTGATGAGATAGAACTAATGAGGGGTGAGACAGGTCTGATGAGGGGTGAGATAGGTCTGATGAGGGATGAGCAGTTTGGGTTGGAGGGCTCTCTAGGTAAAACATATTGAGGCCCGTTATCTGTTTTCTGTGCCTAGGGCTCCTGCGCCCTCAACAGCTGCAGGCGGGGAAACAGTTCAACAGGTGAAGTTCTCCCCCCAGTTGCATGCATTGCATCAGTTGCATTTGCTGGCTGTGCACGCTTTAAGGGCGCACGGATTTCCTTGTGACTTCACTCATTGATGGTTGCGACAAGCGACCTCTTTCTCTGAATGCAACGGGTTTCCCATTTGCATGCCCTGTATGTGGATTTAATTAGGACTCCGGGACTTTGTATTCCTTCGCAGTGGGAGAGCATGCTTTGCACGGAGGAGGCCCCAAGTCCAACGCCCGGCATACCTTTACTTGAGACCCTGGAGAGCCGCTGCCAGCCTGTGTAGGCAATACTGGCCTTGGTAGGCTTCTAATAAGCCAACCGTGTGTATGTAGCTTGTGACTTCACCCCTAACGGCTGTCTGTCCTCCTTCGGGAAGTCCCTGTCGGCCATTGGCCCAGCAGTCACATTATGCAAATGTTCTAACCTGTTGGGGAGACGTTGTCAGTCATAGGATGTTAATAAACTGCGGCTTTTGTGAGGGAAGTGAAAGGTCAGTGTGGCTAGGTGACACGAAGCCCAGAGACAGAAAAATCATATGCTGTCAGTTGAGGGGTGGACAAGAGGCAGCAAGGCCAATGAAGAGAGGAGGAGGAGGCTAAACTGAACGTATTTTAGAGGGAACATTGCCCACCACCTGATGCATGCGAAAGTCCTCTGTGTTCCAGATGGGTCTTCTTAACGTGGCTGTAAATACTTGCCGGTGCGTATGTCTGCACCTCTTTGCTGACTCCACACTATGGCTGAATCCACCAAGGGTTATTTTTCACATCTGAAGGACTGCTTTTACAATCCTCCTGTTTACAAAAACGTGCCTTCGAGGGAGCTAGACCTTTCTCCCCAGTCCTTTGTTTTCCACTTGGCCCACCGGCCTCTAGGCTGCGGGCAGGGGGAAACCCTGCATGCAAAAATGCGGAGTCTGGTGTAGTTGGCCCCGCCAAGGTGTAACCTGAGAATCCTGGTTTGGAAGGAATTGTGTGGTAAATAGCGGAGAGTCACTGGTCCTTCCCATGTGCCTTTCTGGGACACGCTTTTGGCTCCCAGAAAATGCTTAGGATTTGCCTATCTCAAAAATATCGTTCATCGACATTCCGACTGTCATCAGTTCCTCATCCAGGGCTTTCATTCAAGACGATTTGTGGGCATCTCGATTTAGAGTGGCTAACAAACCATCTTCGGCACAGAGATGCTTTAATCTCAGTTTAAAGGCACAAATCCATGCTCTGGCTTCCAAGGTTGGCAGCTTTTCCTCATTATTTTTTTTCACTTGTAAGTTTCTGTTTCTTCCGTGTGTGTGTGTGTGTTCCTGTTCCACACGTGTTTGCTCCCTCTAGTGGTCGATTTGATATTACACTGGTTTATGTAGTTTAAATCTGCAGGGAGATAAACCAGACATGGTATAATAGCGAACTGACCACTAGGGGGAGCAGAACTCTCACACACACACACAGAGGAATTTACAAGCCGGAGAAATGGGAATGCAGAAATGCTCTGAGTCTGGAATGTCAAAAAGAATTAAACAGTTCTAGAGAATACATCGATGCACCTTCCGGTTGCATTTTATGTTACTGAATGTTATGGCAACGTTGGAGGTACCATTGTGCTTTGATGCAGCATATTAAGTGCAGATAGAAATCGTATGTACATTTCTGAAGGCCACCAACTGTGCCAGGTGATTCAGGAACTGCCTTGAAAAGAAAATAGAAATTGGAAAAGGGAGTCTGTGTTTCCTCCTTTCTTTTTCCTATCATGTTGGCTGAGCGCTGTTTCTTTTCCATTCCTCAATTATTCATACCGCTGAAAATCACTGCTGTGAAGCCCTGCATACGAGAGGGGGGGAGAGAAAATGAAAATGAAATCCGGAACAGGTTTGTACAGTGGCTGCCACGCTGAGGTTGGATGTGGGAACGTCTGGTTTAGATACAGGCTTGTACTGGCTTAGCAAGTTTAGCCCCTGACCTGGATGGTTCAGGTTCACCTGATCTTTTCTGGTCTCGGAAGCTAAGCAGGGTCGGCCCTGGTTAGTATTTGGATGGGAGACCACCAAGGAAGACTGGGACTGCTATGAAGAGGCAGGCGATACTAAACTACCTCTCTTTGGCCCGTGCCTCGAAAAACTCTATGGCAGGGGTGTCAAACAGAGGTCATTTCGGAGGGGATCGCGGGGGATCGCAGTTCCCCCGGGTAAGGTATGGCGAGCGGGGCACATGACGAAGCCCCGCCCCCTGCTTCCGGGCACCCCGCTTCCGGCCCTCATTCAGCCAGGAGGAGGCAGGAGAAGAGGGAGGGTAAGTTGCTTCCTCCCCGCCTCTCCCCACCCCTGCCTGCTTGGGGCCAGGGAGGGCCTTCGCGGGGCTTCCTTGCACTCCTGCCATCCTTGCAGGACCACCGCCGGGCCCCTCATGGGGCTCGGCAGTGGAGCTGCAAGGCCGGCGCCGGCGGCCGGGACTGTTGGGGGCAGGGTGTGTGGCCTTATGACACACTTCCGGTGATGTCAGGGGGTGTGGCCTTATGACACACTTCCAGTGATGTCAGGGGGTGTGGCATAGGCTAATGAGTTATGCTAATGAGTTCTCCTAGCTCTTTTTCTATGAAACGACCCCACTGTCAAACTTTTTTTTTTACAATTTAATAGGTTTTTTATTGAAAAATAAGTCAAGTATGCATAAGAAATATCATGCTTATGCCAAACAAAACAGTGTAACCCAGTGATAATGCAAATAGTATTTCTTCTAACGTTCAACTTGTCAACTCCATAGAATTTCTAATTAACCTACGATTGATAGAAAGTGTATCATAGCTCTACTAAGCTGTATCACACCTTAATTCAAAAAATTGCTCAGACCTTAAAATAAGCTCACAACTTATAAGGGCATCCACTCAGAGTATCCGAGATTTGTTGGCAGAATGTCAGTTTCAGTGAAGTATGTTATCAGAGCGAAGCACTTTCTTACAAATCTAGATTGTGACCCTGCGTGTCTTTGTGTGTGTGTATCATAGGTGTCGGCTATTTTGTCCATCACATAGTGTTCACAGGGTATCAGACATATGGCCCGGGGGCTGGATCAGGCCCTCGGAAGGCTGAAATCTGGCCCGCAAAGCCGTGGCTGTTTCCTGCTTCCTTTTCCAGTTCTGCTGCTGCAGTAACTCCGAGCAAGAGGTGTCAGTTATCAGAGACTGTTACATAGGCAAAATATTGCAAGAGTGCTAGTGTTTTAAGCATGTTTTATTTAAAGTTTTAAAAAACCCTTTGTGTTTGTGTCCTTTATAAAGTTTCTATCTCCGCTACCTGGCATGACGTTTTATGACACACGTGGCCCGGCCCAACAAGGTCTCACTTATGTCAGATCCGGCCCTCATAACAAATGAGTTCGACACCCCTGCTCTACGGCGTTGCTATCGGTCAGCAGAGACTTAACGGCACTTTCCACCACTAGCAGCAAGTTCAGTGGGTGGCCACGGAAAAGGGTGCCTCTGTCTCCCTGGATGGGAATGTATTTTTTTAAAAATAAGGGATTGTGTATGCATTTTTTCACTTTTGCAATAAAGATTTTTTCTCTCTCTCGAAAAATTGCTTCCTGAGTTCAAGGTATGATTTGCAGCAGCTGTAAGCGATAATGGTGTGCGTGTTTTGGAGTGTGCCTTCGGATGCATTTACAGCTGTCCTGGTTAGGCTGTGTCTGGCTGGGGCAGGTGGAAATGAATGTAGATGGGTGTCAAACACGCGGCCCGGGGGGCTAGATCAGGCCCCCGGAGGGCTTCTATCAGGCCCGCAGTGGAACTGGCTGTCTTCTGCTTCTTCTTCCAGTTCTGCTGCTGCTGCTGTGTCATCGTAACTTTGCCACTGACAGAGACACACCTGAACAGCATACTCAAGATGGCAACAGCACAGACATTTTGATGCAATAATTCAGAGCAAGGGGTGTCAGTGATCAGACACTTAAATAAACAAAATATTGCAAGGAGTGCTAAGGCTTTAAGCATGTTTTTATTTTAAGTAAAAAAAAATATATATAGGGGGATGGGAGATTGGATTTATACCCCACCCTTCACTTGGAATCTCAGAGCGGCTTACAGACTCCTTTCCCTTCCCCTTCCCACAACAGACACCCTGTGAGGTGGGTGGGGCTGAGAGAACTCTGACACAAACTGCTCTTTCAGGAACAGCTGTGCCAGAGCTTGTGACTGACCCAAGGTCACATCAGCAGGTGCAAGTGGAGGAGTGGGGAATCAAACCCGGTTCGCCCAGATTAGAGTTCGCACACTTAACCACTACACCAAACTGGCTCTCTGGAGGTGGTGGGCTCTCCTTGGGAGATTTTCAAACAGAGGCTAGATGGCCATCGGACAGCAATGCGGATTCTGTGAACTTAGGCAGATCACGAGAAGGGAGGGCAGGAAGGGTTGCCTCAGTGCTTAGTTCCTGTGGCCCTTTCTTACACGCCCGGGGAAATGCGGATCACCACGTTTTCTCCAGGCAGCAATTTTTCTCCAAGCCAGTTTGGCTGGAGATCCTGGAGTTTTCCTGTCATCTTCTGGGCATGGAACAGCAGTCACTGGGGGCATGTGGGGGGAGGTATTTGTGAATTTCCTGTACTGTGCAGGGGGTTGGACTAGATGACCTCAGAGGTCCCTTCCAGCTCTATGATTCTATGGTTCGATTCGAGTCCAGTAGCACAAGAGTTTCTACTTGTCTACCTGTGTCTTCCAAAGGAAGGTTTGACTCTTGAAAGCTTGTACCCTGAAACTCTTGGTCTCTTGTCGGCTGCTGGACTTCAATCTAACTATTCTGCTGCCAACCGAGGTGGCTATCCTCAGAAACTGTCTTTATCAATCGGACGTCTGACTTCCGTACACATATGAAGAAATGGCATTGTTTTCTGGGGAGAGGCATTTTTGGAAGGGGTGATTCCACACACACTCAATTCTGTTCGGAAAGGTTGTGCAAACAGTAAATTCAGGGGAATTAACCTTTTAGCCCTGCAAACAGGGATTGGCAACATCTGTTACATAGATTACAGGACAGGCGAAAGGAAACTGAGGCCCCTGCCCTCCCCAGGCTCCAGCCCCAGATCTCTGGGAGGTTCCCAACCTGGATCTAGCAACCCTACCCCCCCCATCCCCTGTCAGGGGCTGGGGGAACCTGGGAATCCTACCCCACTTCTCAAGCACTCTTGAGAAGCCAATTTGGTGTAGTGGTAGAGTGCGCGGACTCTAATCTGGGAGAACTGGGTTTGATTCTCCACTCCTCCACTTGCAGCTGCTGGATGACCTTGGGCAAGCCGTAGTTCTGTCAGAGCTGTTCTCTCAAGGACAGTTCTGGAAAGAGCTCTCTCAGCCCCGCCTACCTCACAGGAGGAGGAGTAGTTTGGATTTATACCCCTCACTTCACTACCTGAAGGAGTCCCAGAGCGGCTTACAATCTCCTTTCCCTCCCCCTCCCCACAACAGACACCCTGTGAGGTAGGTGGGACTGAGAGAGCTCTGAGAGAACTGCCCTTGAGAGAACAGCTCTGAGAGAACTTGTGACTGACCCAAGGTCACACCAGCAGCTGCATGTGGAGGAGTGGGGGATCAAACCCGGTTCTCCCAGATTAGAGTCCGCGCACTTAACCACGACACCAAACTGGCTCTCTCTCAGGTTCTCGTCCTAACAAGATGAGGCTCCCCTGTGGATCAGCGGACAGAGTCCAAGGCAGCCGGGGCAGAAAGGAAACGAAGTCCGGGCGCAATCCCCTTTCGTGTGGTCTGGCCGCAGGAAGAGGAAATAAAGCCGCGGGATCGTGCGGAGCAGGACTTCTGTTCTTGTAACTTATCACATGCCTCAGTAATCTCTCCGGAACCCGTAGCACTGCCCAGAAGGATTAAGAAAAAACTTGGATCGGATTCAGGGCTCCTCAAATTTTTCTTTTGCATAATCCCATCAGGGGGGAAAAAATGTCTTTTAATAGTTTTGATGTTCCTCGTTTCCTGGGTTTCTGGCAACCTTCCCGACTTTCGTTCCACATGATTTCCTGCTTCTCTTCTGTACGCTGACCCCCCCCCCCATACCGTATGTTTCGTTCTAATCCTGCCTCGGTTTGGCTATACACAGAAACGGGCCTATTTTTAGAAACTGTCAGTCGGTGAACTGACATTGTCCTTGGCCTTCAAGCAACAGCTACACGAGAGGAAGGGGAGTGTGTGTGTGTGTGTATGTGCTGGGGCATTTTTATTTTATTTTTTTGCCGTGCAAAGTGCTAGACAATATAGGGTTGGCAGCCTCCAGGTGGGGCCTGGCTAGGGTTTCTCCTTACCGGGGGACTCCCGATCTGCGGCTGGAGGGCGTAGTGGTTAAGTGCGCAGACTCTAATCTGGGAGAACCAGGTTTGATTCCCCACTCCTCCTCCACTTACAGCTGCTGGGTGACCTTGGGCGAGCCACAGTTCTGTCAGAGCTGTCCTCTCAAGGACAGTTTTTGAAAGAGCTCTCTCAGCTCCTCCTACCTCACAGGGTGTCTGTCGTGGGGAGGGGAAGGGAAAGGAGTTTGTGGTACCATCGAGTTTTCAGCCCCATTGCCAG